TATGTTCAGTACCAGCACTTCCTGAATGTTAGTTTATTTACAAGCCTTTCTGTGTTTTGATGTCCTATAACATGGAGATAATAATGGTACCGTCACGTAGGATTGCTTTGAGGATTAAATAGTAAATGAATGTTAACTGTCGTTACAGTACCTGGCAGGTAGTACAGCGCTCAGAGAATGTTAGTTGTTGTTCCCAGGTATCTTCTCTCTCACTACTGTGTTTGTAATAACAGCCTTAAATTTTTTTTTTAACGTTTATTTATTTTGGAGAGAGAGAGAGACAGAGCATGAACAGGGGAGGGTCAGAGAGAGGGAGACACAGAATCTGAAACAAAAGGTATACAATTTACCATACTTCTTTTTTTTTTCTCTTTTAAATTGTTTTAATGTTTATTTATTTTTAAGAAAGAGAGTGGGACAGAGCATGAATAGGGGAGGGTCAGAGAGAGGGAGACACAGAATCTGAAACAGGCTCCAGGCTCTGAGCTGTCAGCACAGAGCCCGACGCGGGGCTCGAACTCACGGACCGCGAGATCATGACCTGAGCCAAAGTCGGCCGCTTAACCGACTGAGCCACCCAGGTGCCCTATAATAACAGCCTTAAATTTGAGATGAATCTTCACCTTTAATCCTCAACCCTTTTGACGATACAAGGAATTCTTCGTATTGATGAGTTGGGTTTCTTCTTCTCAAATGAATTTTTTTTAAAGTAATTTACCTGTTTACAGTTTTTTTCCCCCTTAGGCTTAAACTTATATGAGATCTTAATCCTAGGAAGTTATCAAATTTATATGCTTATGTATATGTTTGAATGTATATATGTGAACAATAATAAATTCTTTTTAAATAATGCCTTGATTTGGCAGTTTGTGAAGCTATGTAGTCCTGCCCTTGAGACCCAGTGGACTCAAAACTGTTAGAAAAGTATAAATGACACCAGAAGAGCCATCAACTCTGAGCTTTTACTAAATAATTTAATTTTATGGCTCATGTTATTATTAAATATGAAGATCTTAGTTCTTCACAAAGGAATATTATAAAGATGATTAGTTAAAACAGGGTACTGGACAATTTTAAAACTTGTCAAAATGGCTTTATATATTCATACACACATCCTTTGTTTCCACAGTATACAGTTTACAGAATGCCTCTTTTCTCTTTCTCTTTTCTATTACAATTGTCATGTCTGGGATTTAAGTCTAGGAAGTTACCTTGTTACTTTGTCACGGACCGTGCCAGAAGACATGAGGCACCTAGAGCAGAGACAGAGAACCTTATTACAGCACAGGAAGCAGTACCAGCGTCAGGAGCCGCATGTTGGTATAGACCCCTTGCCCCCAAGTTCTCTGGGGTTAACTCAGAGGAGCGGGCGGGTGTGCATACAGCTGAGAAACACTGAGCTTGGAGAAACGATCATTGTATAACAAGCAGTAAGTCTGTCCCAAAGGGAAATGTGATCTCACCTCTCAAGGCCTTTCACTGACACACACCCCTAAGAAATAGCCTGGGGTACAATGGAGGAGTCTGTACCATTAACATTTTTTCCAGTCCTTGCATGAGGGAAGAACGTACGGTGTGTGTGCATACGGGTATATGTATGTATATGGTATATGTATGTATACGGGTATATGTGTAGCATCCTTCCCTCTGTCACTGCTTCTTTGCAGCTGGAGGTGCAGTGTCCTCCTGGTGTCACCATTGGCTTTGTTGCAGAACACTGGAACCTGTGCAGGGCAGTTTACAGCGTCCAGAATGAGAAGAAAGAAAATGTGATGCGAGTACGTGGGCCATGTTCAACCTATGGCTGTGGTTCAGATTCTGTTTTCGAGGTAAATGTAAAAATAACATTATTAGTATTTTTTCAACATGTACAGACAGACCTTAGAATTGTTTGGTTTTAGATTATTTTTTCACATGAATGAATAAAGTAGAAGGAGGAAAGAGTTATCAGTTGACATCAAATCATTTGCAAATTATTGTTGGTGGATTGCTTAATGTTTCCCAAAATGTGAGCTACTTTGTTTATGATTTCAGTGTTTGATGAAGATGAGAAGGACCCATGTAAAACACTAAACCTGAAAGAAAATAGCCCAATAGATTCCATTTATTTTGTTCTTGGTTGTATTTAATTAACCATTTTTACCAAAGATTTGCAGGATTGGGATACAGGTCCTGAGCAATGAAAGTGCCCAACAGATCACAGAACATATGGATCACCCCGAGATTGTGCAAATCGTCTATCTGCATGGTGGAAGTCTGTCTGTGTCCTCAAGAGACAGGATAACACTGATAACATAGATAAAACTCATAATAGATTATAACATTTTCTCAGAAAAATGAAAAATCCTCCTGTTTTGCCTTTATTTCACTGACTACAAAATGATTGCTTATTATCCTATGAATTTGACAAAGGAGATTCTTAGAAATATTTCCTGAGCTTCTTAGAAGATGTCTTGCAATTCAGCAAGGCTCTTTATCTAAAATTGCTCATTCAAGTATTTTCTATGACACCCAATAAACCTTTTTAGTTCTTCAGGCATTGCTTATTTGTTAAAAGACCACTGTAGAGAAATAGAAAATGTAGCCACATTGCAGGGGCAGAGTATATAGGATCATTCTGATCGCCAAAAGTTAGCAAGTGCCTGAGTCCCCCTTTGAGAAGCCAAAGCTCTTCGGAATTCTGACATACAACAGGGTGGATTTGACCCACAAAAACTTGACTGATTATATGAAGTTTGTGAAGTATGTAGAATTATGCTTCCTTACTTTTGTTCATGTGTTTCTCTAGACTGTAGAGACTCCCTCCCAATCCCCAATTCCCACCCTTTACTATATGAAGAAGAATTTCAAAATCAATTCAAATCATACCTCCCTCAAATCATACCTCATTTGCTCTTGAAAACAAGAGCATTGGCCTGAGAACTGTCAGATATGCCCCAGTTCTGGTTGTTGGATTTTTTATTTGATTTAATTCAAGTCAGTTAACATACAGTGTAGGCTTGGTTTCAGGAGTAGAACCCAGTGAGTTCTCTCTTACATATGATGTTCAGTGCTCATCCCACAAAGTACGCTCCTTAATGCCTATCACCCATTTAATCCATCCCTGACCCACCTCCCCTCCAGCAACCCTCAGTTCTCTGTCTTTAAAAGTTTCTTATGGTTTGCCTCCTTCTCTGTTTTTATCTTATTTTTCCTTCCCTTCCCCTATATTCATCTGTTGAGTTTCTCAAATTCTACATATGAGTGAAATCATATGATATCTGTCTTTCTCTAACTGACTTGTTTCACTTAGCATAATACCATCTAGTTCCATCCATGTTGTTGCAAATGGCAAGATTTCATTCTTTTTCGTTGCTGAGTAGTATTCCAGTGTGTGTGTGTGTGTGTGTGTGTGTGTGTGTGTGTGTGTGTGTGTACGTACCACATCTTTATCCTTTCATCAGTTGATGGACAGGTGGGCTCCCTGGCTAACCTGGCTATTGTTGATCCCAGCTCAGTTATTAACCAGTTGCAAGGCACCTAACCCATCTTGGCCATAATTCCCTATTTGAAATTATGTTATTACTGTTATTAATTTCCTGTACTGTATTTATGCTTATCTCAGTGTAAAGTGCTTCTAAGTAGAAGAATGAAACGTATAGTACTTTTTAATCATCATTAAGTCACATGCTTCTCTTTCTAGGTCAAATCCCTTGATGGTGTATCCAACATCGGCAGTATTATTAGGAAGTGGAACGGTCTGTTATCAGCAATGGGCGATGCTGACCAGTTTGAAATTCACTTCCCGTTAGATATGGATGTGAAGATGAAAGCCATGATTTTTGGAGCCTGCTTCCTCATTGTAAGCCTTTTACTTTTGACTTGTCTTGAGTGAGTTATCCTTTCCAATGAGATGCAGTGTAGTATAATAGAAAGGCAATAACGTTTGCAACTAGGCCAGAGTCTGTCTCTACCACTTACTAGTGACATGTTTTGCAAAGTGTCGAACACTTCCCGGCCTCATTCTTTTTATCTGTAAAATGGAGATAAAAATACTTAGATTTTTTCAGGGTGATGAACATTAGCTATCATCTGAGTACAGGGGCCAGAAGAGTGCTTGGAGAATATTAGGTATCCAGTGGGTGTGATTGTCATCACAGCATGTTATTTGTCTTTCCCATTACTTAAAGATGCCTGTCCTTTGACTTCTTGAGGAAATAAAATAACTCTAGAGCTGATTTCCTTTCCCTCCACCTTATTGCCTCTCTGTCATTGTACTCCTTGGTGTTGTATCTTCCTTAGATTTAGTAGGCACAGTTCCCTTGCTGTATTACTGGCTGATTAATGGCTAGTATTCATAAGTAAAGCATAGAGATGAAATGGAAAATATTTACCTTAAAAATGTAGTTAACGTACTGCAATTGGTATATTTAACATTTAGTTTTGATTGTCAAGTTTTTCGTCTTTTTAACAATGAAAATTTAGTTAACTGGTACCCCCAAATGGAAAGGTTATTGGCTACCAATAGTTACAAGTTTTTAATTGCTGCTCTTCATATTAGGTCCTCTTCATAAAGATTTCATTAGATTTATTTATTCTTAACTAGAAAGAGGATTGCCTGATAAATTATAAAGGATAATATTTTATGCATTGCATCTAATTATGTATCCATCTGTATACATACAGTTGTCTCTTTTTTTCTAATATATATGTATATATTATATATATATATATATATATATATATATATATATATGTATATTTTTTTTCTAATTTCAGGACTTCATGTATTTTGAAAGATCACCACGACGTTCATCAAGATAGATGGACACAGCAAATCAACAATTATGGTTAATTAAAAAAAATTAGAGAAGTTGGATTGGGCTTATAATCCCCTGAATTATTTGCAAATATATGTATCTGCTTTTGCAGATTATTTTTACTGGGTATTAGCTCTGACAGGTAGGCTGAGTGTAAGGGCAAGAACACGTGTTTTAATTGATTGAACCATGTTTTTTAATTGATTGTCTCTCTGTCTACATGGTAGACTAGGAGTTCACCTTGAAAAAGCTATAACTCATTAATCAAGTAAACATAATACAATGAGCTTGAAAACACTTTACTTACCCTGAGATAAGGGAAAATGAATCCCAGGGCTCTCACATTAATGGGTCATGAAATGGCAAGCTTTTTAGAGCAGTCTTTGAGATAGAATAAAACAGCTTTTATCCCCAACCCTCTCCAACCTGTCCTCTCCATCAACTTGTCCTGTTACTGAAGATAAATTTGATTCTAAGTGAAAAGAATAATACTCTTGACCTTTAAAACAAAAAGGAAGGTAGGCAGAAATACTGTGTGTTATTGTACAAGGAAAAATTTACTTGTGCATATGTATCAAACCTTGTTCTGAAAATTTATAAGTTTCAATGGAAAATTTGATTTTATTACCAAACAAAACATTTTTTTAAAAATCATAAGGTTCTATTTTCCATACCTATTCCCTCATTCACTAGCGTGGTCTATCAGGACCTGCCTGGACATGGAGTCAGGGTCATCCTATCAGGAAAAGAGGTGACAAGGGCCACAGCTTGTCTAGATCTCTGAGCAACTCAGAGACATCAGTGTCCTTATGAGGAGCTTGCGTTTAATCTATTTAATCTCTCTTGGCCACAGATGCCTTACATATGAAATATTTTGGCCAAATCTCAAAGATTGCCTATTGAACTTCCGTATCTCATGGGGTGTGACACAGAGGAGATAGTTTTTATTTTTCTTTCTTTCAAGATCACTGATAATCACCATGTTTTTCTAACTGCAGGAATTGAAGTTCGGTTTCTAAATTTTGAAATGTGGCATTCTGTGTAGCACTTTGTAAAAGCAAAACTACGAATTTTGACGTTTTTAAATATTTCTTAGCTGCTTTTTATTTAGATGATAGATAAATCTGCCTGTGCAAAGAAGATAATAAAACTTCTCTGTGAACTATAGCTTAACAGTAAAATTCTGTAGGATCGACATAGTTACAGTATAAGTGTACTTGTTATTAGCTAGTTAAGAGCACAGTGTATTGGTGAATAGTTGCTGATGAATCAGCCTGTGTCTTTTGTACTCTACCTTCCTATCTGGACATGGACTGTGTTTTTTCAACACAGCCAGTATGTAGAATGAAATGTATTCTTCTCCTTGTTAAGTAAAGCAACTCTAAGTGTTCTCTGATGGGATTACTCGGAGATGACAGCCTTTGCCCACAATTCCTGTTGAAGTCAAAGAAAGGTGCTTCATTTTATAATTATATTTATCTTTTCATGGTAAAGTTGTTTTATTAAGTTTCTTGTAATTTCTATATTTAGGTGCTACTGCTAGCTTTTTTTTTAAGTGTTAAACTGCTGCTTTTCTAAAAAGTACAATTACCTTGTATTTGAAAATACGATTGCAGTCTTAGACATATATATTATTTCTTATAATAATATCTGACATTTTATGTAGGAAATGAGACAATAATATTGAGAAAGTTTATCTGTACAAACTTCATTTTTACTTGCCCGCATCCCTACATCCCAAGACCTGCTGCATAATGCTAAGAAAAGATTATTTAACATATGACATTTTAAGTTTCTGTTCAAAGTTTTCATGGCATTAATTTGTCTCTTACAGTTATTATCCCTCTGTCTTTAAAAGTAATACCATGTGTCTTATTTTTTTTATACTGTGGTTCATATTATAGTTTCTATATTTCTTAATGGTATTTCATTGTGTAAAATTGATCAGAGTCACTAAAAAAAAGCTACTCTCTTTGTATTTTAATGCTTCATCATACTGTTTTTGGCTTTTTAAATAAATATAATATGGTTTATAGTGAAATACTGTTTTATTTTTTGACTTGTGATTGAGTCTTTGCTATAGACTGAATGCTTGTATTTCCCCCCAGATTTATGAGTTACCCCAATGTGATGGTGTTTGGAGATGGAGACTTTAGGAGGTGATAGGACATGCTGGTGGAGACCTCATGAATGGGATTAGTGTCCTTGTAATCTGTCAGTACTTTGATCTTGGGTTTCCCAGCTTCCAGAATGTGAAAGATAAATATTTGTTTTGTAAGCCACCTGGTCTCCAGTACTGTACAGTTGCCCAAATGGATTATGACGGAAATTGGTACTGAGAAGTGAGCGTGCTGCTATAACACACAAATGTGGAAGCAGCATTGGAACTGGGTAATAGGCAGAAGCTGGATTTTGAGATGCATTCTAGAAAAAGCCTAGATATTTTAACAGAACTTTAAAGGCAATGCTGATGGGAGCTTGGAAAGAAAAGATAGATATAGAGAAAGCCTCAGTATTCTTAGAGAATAGCTAACTAATCCTGAACAGAATGTTGGTAGAAACATGAATTGGTAAAGAGCATTCTGATGAGGTCTCAGATGGAAACGAGGAACATGTTGTTGGAAACTTGAGGAGAGGCCCTGTTTATTACAAAGGGGCAAAGAACTTGGCAGAATTGTGTTCATGTTCTAGTGTTTTGTGGAACATAGAACTTGCAAGTGATAAAACTAGAGGTTTAGCTGAAGAGAGTTCTAAGCAGAGTGTTAAAGGTGCAGTTAGGGTCCCCCTGACTTCTTACAGTCAAATGCAAGCAGAGAGAAGTGACCTAAAAGCAGAATTGTTAAAAGAAGCAGTACTTAAAGACTTAGAAGATTTGCAGCCTATCCATATAGCAAAAAATGAGAACATTGAGGATGTGGCCAAGGTACTGATAAAGAAATTAATATGGTTGAGCCTTCTGAACAGAAGCTAGGAAACTATTCTCCAAGACAATGTAAGAATGACCCTGAAGGCAATTCAGTGATCCACAGAGCTGCTGCTGTCATTACAGACCCCGATGACAAGGGCTGAGGAGGCTGAGTGATCCAAAGGAGGGGCCTTCAGCACCTGTGGGACCTTTCTGCACACTACCTGACACTACCTTACATGGGGGGCTCTGCTCTCTGCACTCTCTCACCATGCTTCTCCGCCACCCCAGATGTGGCTCTGCTGGGCCCTGGTATGGCATGAGATTCAGTGGCCACGTGTCCAGAGGGTGTAGGCAGAAGGTGCGGGCCCATATGGCCCCATTTCTGTTTATGCTCATAGTGTACAAGCCAAGGGAGCATGGCTACCTTCACCTAGATTTCTAGGGACAGGGCCATCTGGGAGAGCCTTGGGCTTAGTACCCCAGCCCTGGAGATCCACAGGGCCCAGGCAGTGAGTCTCTGCAGGGAAGGCCATTCTCCCGAGCCCTGTGGGTAACACGGCCACCCCAAAGGGCCCAGAAGACAAAGCACTGAGTCAAAGATTATTCTTGAGCCTTAAGGTTTAATGTTGTTTGTGCTGTTTGGTCTCAGACTTACCTGGGGCCTGTCACTCCTTTCTTCTTTCCTATTTCTCTCTTTGGGAATGAGAATGTCTATCCTATGCCTGTCCCACCATTGTATCTTGGAAGCACATAATTGTTTGTTTTTGCAGGTTCACAGAAGAAGAGGACTTTGCCTCAGTCTAAGTCATACTTGAGTCTCATCCATATCTTATTTAGATGCGTCTTTGGACTTTCAGACTTTTGAGTTGATGCTGGAGCAAGTTAAGACTTTTTGGCTGTTTAGATGAAATGAATGTATTTTGCATGTGAGAAGGAAATGAAATTTTGTCCTGACCTGGATGGAATCCTATAGACTGAATGTTTGTGTCCCCCAAAATTCATATGTTGCAATTTAATCCCCTAATGAGATGTATTTGGAGGTGAGACTTTGGGGGATGATTAGAACGTGAGGGTGGAGGGTGGAACCCTTATGATGGACTAGTACCTTTATATACTTTTTAAAAAGTTTATTTGAGAGAGTGTGTGTGAGCAGGGGAGGGGGCAAAAGGAGAGAGAGAGAATCTCAAAAGCAGGCTCCACATTCAACACGGAGCCTAACAGGGGGCTTGATTCCACGACCGTGGGATCATGACCTAAGCTGAAATCAAGAGTCGAACGCCTAACCAACAGGTCCACCCAGGTGCCCCATGGATTAGTACCTTTATGAAAGAAAGGCAAGGAGCTCCTTTGCCCCTCTACCACGTGGGGGCACAGTGAAAAGACCACCATCATGAACTGGGAAGTGGACTCTTACCAGATACAGCATCTGCTGGGCCCTTGAGCTTGGACTTTTAGAACTGCAAGAAATAAATTTCTGTGGTTTATGAGCCACCCACTCTATGGGATTTTTGTTACAGCAGTCAAAATGGACTAAAACAGTTTTTTAATACTTCAAAGGAATTTGTGAAGTAATTTCTTATTAATTATCAGTCAGGTTTGCATTCAGGGTCCTTGTTTTCTTGTATAGGTTTAATTCTAAAAAAGTCATTTTTGTAATGTTTTATAGTAGTAACTAGCTTTGTGATACAACGAAGTTATTTAGAAATGCTTATTTCTTATACCTTACTCAAGGCATATTTAAATTTTAAGTATGGTATCAATAGGAGTATATCATGCAGGAAAGCTGCTAGAATTTATCACTGTCAGTGAAGGATGCATTTTAAAACAATTTTAACAATCAGATTTACCAGAAATTACACAAAAACTGGTTACCAGACTAATTTGCTAGCTGAATTTTTCAACCAACTAGATGTTAAATTAAGTTCAAGTCTAGAATAAACAGTGATTTCAGAGAATGGCATCCTGGTGCTGGGACAACTGGTTACTTTTCAGTACCTGCCATATAAGTTTAATTTAACTTATATTGAAAGATGCAAACTCGGAAAACCCATAGGGCTGGATTTAATAAACTAATACCAAATTCAACTCTTCGGCTAGTGATGACTAATATCGAACACGGATCTTTTCCTATAATTTGGTTGACCTTCAGAGTCTGTTTCCCATTTATTTGCCTCTAGGCATCTTAAATTGTAAATCCCAGAATAGAGAAAAACAAAATGATACATTTCAAGTGTAGTCAAGTGAGGCAGCATAGAATGCTACGTGATAACATTTAGTGTGGTTAATAATAGCACGTGATAGGCATTCACTCAGGATCTGCCTAATGAATAACAACACAATCAGTGGATTTATTTTTGGAATATTTACTATAGTAGCCAGTAAAAAGGTTGACCATTCAAAATGTATACCCTCCTCTCCAGTATTTCATTGCACTAATACTTAACCTTAGTGAGCATCTGCTAAATCCAGGCACTGGGTTATTCCTGAAGGCAGAGGGAAATGCAAAGATTAAAAATAGATAATTACCATCCTCAGGGTTCACAGGCTAACTGAGGAGACAGACTTTTAAAAACTACATACACATCTTTGAGGACCATGGACCTGTGTTCAATGGGATGTTGGCACATTCAGTAGAGGCCATGTCACTAGTAACATCTCAGGTGCCATTTAATTCTTTCTGTCCCATTTAATCAGATAGTTTAGATGGGCAGGTTGTGTCATTTGCCAAAGTACACTTCCTGGCCCTGCTGGAGGTAAGATTTTACATTTTATGGTCTTGTCTGCCAGCTGAGTACACGGTAAATACAATCGAAAAGGTCAATTTAGCACATTTTCATCACACAAAACCAGGGTTGATTTTTTTTATTACAGTAAACACAGAGCCCAAGAGAGTGGTACCTCTGTGATGCTCAACAAATATTTGTTGAGTGAGTGAAAATAGTTCTAATGTGTGTATGGCACTGTTAGGCGTTCAAGGAGACAGAAATGCAAAGGTAGTCCTCTATCCCTCAGCAAGGATAAAGCAAGGAAGTGTGCAATTGCAGCACACGTTTAAAGAATTATTGCATAGAATAAATTTTTTCTGAAAATGTATATTACTTGATTCTCACAACCGCATCATGAGATAAACATCCAATACCCCTTTTTCAGAGGAAGAAACAAACTTCGTCAAGAGGTAATAGAAAGAGATTGGACGCCAATGAATCTCCATGCTCTCCAGTTGTAATTGTAATGAAGGAAAATTGAATGTATAAAAGGTGAGAAACATAACAGCCCCTGGAAGGGGGAGAGCACAGCAGGTGGTATTCAATGCAAGGGCTTGTAGAGCTGCCCAGTCTTGAGGTCCAACTAGAAATTTGGTCAGGCAGACTTCTCTCCTCATCCTCCTTCCCAGTTGTCCAGAATGGGTGGGTGGTGAGTGTTCACTGGGGGGGTTGGGGTGGTGGTGGTGACAGAGGTGGGGTGGGTGCTAAGGTTGGGGTGGTAGTGGTGCCTCTTCACGTAATAACTAAAAAAGGAGGAGCATCTGGGTGGCTCAGTCAGTTAAGCATCAGACTTCAGCTCAGCTCATGATATCATGGTTCGTGGGTTCAAGCCCCACATCAGGCTGTGTGCTGGCAGCTCGGAGCCTGGAGCCTGCTTTGGATTCTGTGTCTCCCCCTGTCTTGCCCCTCTTCTGCTCCCATTCTGTCTCTCTCTTTCTCAAAAATAAACATTTAAAAAAATTTAAACAAAGTAAATAGTGTATTCTAAAAACATTCTGTAATCAGCTAGCTTCATGATGGCCCATTAAATTTTCTTGCAATTCTTAGTTCTGCTGCTTCTCAATAAGAGAGCCAGTCATATGAACTCATATACTGTTGAGATGTGTAGTTGCTGGGTTCACCTCAAGATATAATTGCAGGGTAGACAAATATGCGTCTGGGCACACATAGAGGAAAACCAGCCCAATCACGAGACGGGGTGTAATGTAACCAACTAATGACTGATGGTGATGATAATAGGATCTCTTTCTAGTTCTTCCTATATTCCAGACAGCATTCTGGTTGTACGGACTTTCTATAGACTAACTCATTCAATTCAAACCCTGTAAAATAGGGTACTATAATAATTCCCATTTTACAGATCAGAAAATGGAGATTTGGGTATCTTGCATAAGGTGACCCAGCTAGCTTATGTCCGTAGAACGATTATTTGCAGGTGACTCCAGAGGCTACATGCAATATACCGTCCCGGATGCTTCTTTCCTCTGTTGTGCGATATGTGGTTTCTTTGTATGTTAACTCAGAAATACAGGGAAACAGAAATAGAGGAAAATGGTTCTCTCAAGTTTAGGATGATGGAGGGAAAGCCCATGAGGCTCTGAGGGGTTTTGTCTGGTTCTCTCCTAGAGATGTGCTTTTGATTCTGCTGGTATGCCGGTGGTGTGTCCAACCAAAGACCACTTTTATGTTATTCTGTTAGTTTAGTGCTTCCCAACTCATGTATTTATTTTAAATATGAAAACCAAAACAGTGAGCATAAATCTTGGTTACAAATTCTTAGGGAACAATTTTTTCTATACCTATGGCGTACAAGCCAAAACAGCCAAGCTTTCCCTGATCTCTGTTTGCCAGTAGGTGAATTTTTTTCTAGTTCCTTTACAATGTAATGTGTCTCTTTGAAAGTTCCCATTTTAGTGGTAGTCTCTGTTTTCTGCCACACCTTCGCTTTAAGCCCATGGCTCATCTCCTGTCTCGTCTTGATAGATGAAATCTAAGCCCCTGGCCAATAAAGACTGGTAACTCTTTTCTCTGGGCTACAGAGAAAGTATCAGTCTGTGTTTAATAGATATTTCAGATTGTTCATGATTTTGACCTTTACTAAATCCTCTTACTCTCTTAGGAGTTACACTTTGCATTTACATAGCTTTGGGTTATACTTTAGGCTTTCTAGGCATTCTATGGCAAAAGAGTTTTAAGATGATCTTTGCAACATTGGCAGCAATGGAACTGATCTATTTTTCTTTTTTCTTTTTTGCCTTTTTTCTGAAGCTTATTTATTTTTGAGAGAGAGTAGAGTGTGCGTGTGTATATGCACAAGCAAGGGAGGGGCAGAGAGGGGGAGAGAGAATCTGTGCTGTCAGTGCAGAGCCCTACTTGGGGCTCCATCTAACCAACCCCGAGATCGTGGCCTGAGCCGCAATTGAGAGGTGGTCGCATAACCAGCTGAGCCACTCAGGCACCCCAGTGATCTATTTTTCTTTTTTAACAACACACAATTTTATTATAAAGTACTCATGGGATAATGCTTTAACACAAAGACAAAACTTAAAATAATTTTAAACTTTTATATTACTACTATTTGTTAGACTTAATTTACAACTAATTTTTTTATTTTCTATTTGAAGTGTATTATCTATCATCATAGGATTGCATTCCAGATTCTCTTCACATTCTCTTCACATTCTACATTATGTTGAATGTCTCTAATACTGTTAGATCAAAAAGGTTCATCTAAAATGGAACCAGCTCTTCTGTAATCCAGGCTTAGATATATGAATTTTGGAAAATTATGGAAAGAGTCCGTTCCTTGAGTAGTTTTAACGACATGTTTACTCAAATTATCTTAGCTAATAGCTATTAAACATACCTTTTGTGGGTTTTAATTGTTTTCATTATAACTGATAAAAACAAACAAATTCGTTTTTAAAACTCTTGATTATGCAAGAATACGCCCATGGAGAGTGACTGAGAGAGCAATTGGAATGATGAAATGCTGATCTAACTAGCAGCGCCCCCCCCCCCCCC